GGGGGGGGGGGGGGGGGGGGGGGGGGGGGGGGGGGGGGGGGGGGGGGGGGGGGGGGGGGGGGGGGGGGGGGGGGGGGGGGGGGGGGGGGTGTACTCATGGTCGCTCATGCCGTAGTCGTCAGACCATTGACCTCGCATCGCTACAGAGCCGGGACGGAGCACACCGGGTTCTCACCGGACCAGGCTCTCACATCACCAAGCGCGAAGCGCCGTGAGATATTCGGCGAGTCGCATGAAGGGTGCGCTGCATCCTGCTAAGGGTGTTCGGCATCTTGTGCTTACTTCTTTGCGTACGGATGGCAGTTGCGTTTGACTAAATTCCTTGTCTGGTGCTTTCACTTCCAGAGACAGTTAAAGGCACTGTGTAACTGCGTCGAGGGTGCTTGACCATTTGACAGAACGTGGTGCGGTCTTCCCCCTTGCACGGAGTGAGGCTTCTCCACCCCGCACAACATGATCCACTCGACCACCGTTATGGTCACCGCCAAAGCAGAACAGAGGAACAAAACAACAACGGTGACCTGGTTGCCGAGCTCACGAAGTGAATTGGCTTGTGATACGACGTCGTTGCCAAGGGACGAAAACCCAACCCCGATGGCAAACGCCGGGGGGCGGGGGGCGTGTACTCATGGTCGTGCATGCCGTGGTCGTTAGACATTTGACCTCGCATCCCTACAAAGCCGGGACGGAGCACGCCGGGGTCTCACCGGACCAGGCTCTCACATCACCAAGCGCAAAGCGCCGTGAGATATTCGGCGAGTCGCATGAAGGGTGCGCTGCATCCTGCTAAGGGTGTTCGGCATCTTGTGCTTACTTCCTTGCGTACGGATGACAGCTGCGTATGACTTAATTTATTTTCTGGTGCTTTCACTTCCAGAGACAGTTGTAAGCACTGTGTGACTGCCTCGAGGGTGCTTGACCATTTCAACACAACGTGGTGCGATCATCCCCCTTGCGCGGAGTGAGGGTTCTCGACCCCGCACAACATGACATCCTCGACCACCAGTATGGTTACCGCAAAAATATTACAAACGGAGGTAAACACATTGTAAATATCGGTAACGTGCTTGCCGAGCTCACGAAGTGAATAGGCTTGTTGTACAACGTCGTTGCCAAGCGACGAACACCCAAACCCGTCGACAAACACCGGGGGGGGCGGCTTGTTTAACAACGTCGTTACCAAGCGACGAAAACCCAACCCCGA